TCTTCTTTTCTTTTATTCTTTCTTTTCTTTTTTTTTCTATTTCTTCGTCTTCTTCTTCTTCTTCTTTTCCTTACTCTTTTTCTTACTCTTCTTCTTCTTATTAGTCATCGTACTAGTATTGGTCATGTCATTACTAATCTTTTTTTCTTTCTTTTATTTTTTTATTTTTTTTACCAATTTTTAATTGACAAAGAGAAAGTGTGAAAACAAGCAACCAGAAAGTCTTAAAGAAGATGCCAACAAAAAGTGCAATTAAATTCAGAATCAGAAAGAAACGGCTGAAACATGAAGCAGGAACGTACAGAAGGTTTTAAATATCTGGAAAGCGTTTTAACAGAGGATCAAAAATGTGACACCGAGATCCGAAGCACGCCCTGGACTAGCTAAAGAAGCATTCCAATAGTTAAGCAAAGTGCTGAGAATCGGAAAAATTTTCGTTAGAAACAAAGAGTGTCGGATTGCTGTCTGTTAGTCATCCTATTGCATGGCAGTGGATGCTGAACAATCTCTCCACGAATGAAGAGAAAACAGGAGATACAAAAAAATGATATTCTGTAAAGAGATACTGAGAATTCTATGGACGGTGCATGTAACCAATAATGAAGTCTTCATAAAAGTTGGAACAGAAAGAACACTTTACTCAGAATCAGGAAAAGACAGCTGAAATTCCTTGGACACATAAAGAACACTTAGAAAAGAGCTGGGAAACTTAACCCTTGCAGGATGTTTGGTTATTTTTTGTTTAACAACATATCAACTCCTTATAGGTCATTTCATGCCGAAATTTAATTTTCTTCGGAGTTTTGATTTATTTTCTATTAAAATATATTGATGGTATTTTTATTATTTTTATACTTACATAGTGTTTTGTTTGGGGTTTCACTATTTGCCGATAGCTGAAACCCTAACAAGTGCTACCACCCCTGAATCAGAGTGAATAGCAATTAAGAGGTTGTTCTACGGTTCTCCACCCACCTTGCTGCCGGATGTAGTTTATCGTCATACCCAGGGCGAGAGAGATAGGGCTCATTTACCTGACGAGATTGTTTGAATGGATGGAGGAACGGGGTTCAGGAATATTAGCAAATGGAGAAAACAAGGGATAGGTAGTTGTTGGGGGCCATGATCTTCAGGTCTTATATACGATGTTGGGGCTTCCGGTTTTTTATATTTGTCTGTAGACTCTTATTGCTGACCTAAATCACTGATACTGTAATATTAAATCTAAATAGGAGGGATCATCCTCATCGGGCTCATCATCAGGGTGTGGTCGTAAAGTCCCTGCGAAACTTAACAACTATCTTTTCTTACTATTATTCCTTCTACTTCTTTTATTTTATATCTCTTTCTATCCTTCTCTCTCTCTCTCTCTCTCTCTCTCTCTCGTAATCCTTCTCTTTTTTCACTCATATATCCTTTCCTACACTCTTCCTATTATTTTCTATCTGTCTGTCTGTCTGTCTGTCTCTCTCTCTCTATCTGTCTATCTATCTATCTATCTCTCTTACATTCTCTCTCACAAGAAAATTAATAATTTCTCTCAGAAAGCCTTTCTTTCCTTCTTCTTTTCTATAATTCTTTTCTCTTTCATATTATCACCTTCTTTCCTCCTCCTCTCTCTCTCTCTCTTAATCCTTATCTTTCTTACATTCTGTCTCTCTAGACTTTCACTCCCTCTTCCGATCATTCCTTCCTTCTCACTTACCTCCTCTCTCTCCCACTCTCTCTCCCTCGCCTTACCTTTCTTCCCTTCTTAATATTATTCTTACTTTCTATCTCATATTCTCTCCCATACTATACCCCTCTCTCTTTTAGTCGTTCTCTTTCTGTCGTTTCTCCTTTCCTTCAGTCCTCATATCATTCTATCCCTCTCTCTTGCTTTCTTTCTCCCTCTTCTCCTCTTTCGCATCTCTTTTCTTTTACCTCTCCCTTCAATTCCATGCCTCTCTTGCTTCTTTCTCACTCAACGCTCTCAATCACGACGTTAATGTCAACAAATTTCATTTCCTGTCGCACGAATACTTCCGCCATTCATTAAACATGTCGAAAGTACTTCGACGCAATTGTTCAATTTAAATAGTCACAGCAGGTGTATCGAACACACTATTTATCTTCCACCATTACCACAGCAAATGCAACTACACTACTTAGACTATAGCCTTTTTCATAGCCGATAACTTCTCGGCTACACTATACGACGAAATAGAGACGGGTTCAACATGGCAGACCGCCAAGTTCTCTTCGTTTCAAATAAAACGGAATTCTTTTGTACGGCTTAATTGTTTTTTCGAAGGTGGGGGGGATAAGAGAATTTGGTGGGTGAGGTGTTTGCGCAGTTTTGTGTTTTTCTTGCTATCAATTGAACTTCTTTTGGGTCAGCAAAAAACAAACGAATTTGGTCATTGTCAAATTCGTGATAAACTCAATGCCTTATTTGTTGAAACAAAAATATACAATTGTTGTTAATGTTGCATCAGTGGCAGTCATGAATGTCGATTGTCTATTCTACAGCTTTTAGAAATGCAGCCCAAAACGTTCAGGAAAAATGACTTTAAATTAAGAACTAGGTTCCGCCATCTTTTTTTGAGTCATTATCAGTGAAGGCTTTCAAAATATAGGATGTTATGTCAATATATATATATATATATATATATATATATATAATTAATTTCTCAAAATAATTCTGAAAATAAATACAAATTGGTTTAGAAATGACAATTGAAAAAGAATTAGTTTTTTCGAACAGTTTACGTCTTCCGACTTTATCAAGACAAAATGAATGAAAAATGAAAAATGTTTTTTAAAAAATAATTTACATCAAATCCAAAATTTAAAAAATGGACGACTATGCATAAGTCTCTTTCTGGATATAAATATTGGTAACTTCCTTTTTAGTAAGAGTTTTTTGTTGTTGTTGTTGTTTTCCATGTGAACAATATAGTTAAATTTTCCTGAAATAATTCTGAATATAAAGAGAAAATGATTTAAAAACGACAATTGGAATTATTTCTGGGAAATTTAACTATATTGTCCACATGGAAAACAAAAAAACAAACTCTTAGTAAAAAAGGAAGTTACAAATATCCTGAAAGAGGCCGGAGATAGCATTGTGCTAATTTCGAAAGTGCTCAGAATAAATGAATATGTATCAACATGGTAATTACCTCTCTTCCTTTAATAAGGATACTAAAAAGCTTGTCCGTGCGTCTGAAAGGATTCTATTGAAAATAAGTAGACAAAACTTGTCTAAATTATTGAACGAGACATGTCTTTATATATATATATATATATATATATATATGTGTGTGTGTGTGTGTGTGTGTGTGTGTGTGTGTGCTTTATTATAGGATATTACATTCGAATATATGCAACTGTTATCTTAATGCATCCATGTTTCGATGCATATCAGGCCTGATGAAATGCCTGATGAAATGCGATGATATACATCGAAACATAAATGCATTAATGTAACCGTTTAACATATGTTCGAATATAATATCCTGTTATACACCGTACCTATGAACACTAATGGGTATATTTCCCAATCCTTATGAATATGTTGGACACTATTGTAAGTGGGGGGTAATATGGTGTCTATGTAGTCGACCACTAGCAGTGGTTTACCTACTTTACGCCGCTGGCGAGTATTGTATTTTATTGATGTTATAAAGATTACTATTTCATTTCCAACCTCCGTTTTGGTTATTCCTCACTCAGCAATCCTTCCTAGGTTACAACATATCCTATAATAAAGAATCATTGCTCTACTGTTCTACTGGGCCCTATTTCTAAATTTAAGTTGTGAACGTTTGAATTTATATTTGATTCGTTCTCATTTCATATATATATATATATATATATATATATATATATATATATATGCCTAAAGAGCCAGAACATATCTACCTAGGTTTCACCAACTGGTTGTCGGGATAATTCTGACTTTATAGTTTCCAACTAACATCTCTGGTACAGCAAAACAGCCTGTCTGTGGATGACAATATGTATGCCTCCGGAAAATCCGGTTGAGTTCTCTTGAGAAAAGGCTAATTTTTAAAATCAATGACTTATACTGCTATTAACGCATTGCCCTTCAATAGAATTGGATTCGGGGTAGACTGAGGTATTTCGCATAGAAATTTCCCTTCCTCTCTGCCGTGCGACAATAGTCTAGGGGTAGAATCTCTGACTGATGCCAAATCGGTCGGGTTTTGACCCCGGCTTGAAGCAATCGGATGTCTAGACATACTGTAGAGCTGTGATATAGCGAAACATTCTGTCTGTGAACTATTTACATTACACACACACTCAAGGACACATGACACAGTGGATAAAGGCGTTGGTTAGATCCAGTGACAGGACCCAAACAGTGTGAGTTCAATACCCGGTTAAGGCAGTGGAGAAGTTGGAGAGGGGAATTAACAGGATATAACTAATAACTGACATCCATTAAAACATGGCACGTGGAACTAGAACAGTCTACCCCAGTGAGCGAAATAAAGGTTTCAGTTCGACATTCCAACCACCTGAAGAAGGCCGGGGCGTACATCGAAACGTTGTAATAAATATGGCGACAAAGATGAGGACAATAATCTGTATAATGTAAATAGTGTACATAATACTTCATCTCAGAAATATAGACAGATACAAAAATATTTGGGTATTATAAGATTTTTGACGTAATAATAATTCACTGATCCTACTATTTAACCCATATCTAGGGAGAAGAGGCGGATTAATACGTTTTCCAAACGTTTTTGCGCCTAAGTGAATGTAATAAATCTGACTGGAATCGGAACTCGGCTCACCGATTTCCCATTGTAGGTCATCAACCTTTACAACACACGCACATCAAAGCTTACAGCACCTGGTATTCCCAAGCGGTCACCCATCTAGGTTCTGAACTGGCATAACGTTGCTGAACTTCGGTTATCGTACGCGAACCAATATTTCATCGTGATGTGGCCCGTAAGCCCTTTACACCAAGAGCTCATCAAAACTTACAGCACCGGATATTCCCAAGCGGTCACCCATGTAGGTTCTGAACTGGCACAACGTTGCTTAATTTCGGTTATCGTATGAGAACAGTATTTAATCGTGATGTGGCCGTAAGCCCTTTACATCAAGCGCACATCAAAACTTACAGCACCTGGTATTCCCAAGCGGTCACCCATCTAGGTTCTGAACTAGCACAACGTTGCTTAACTTAGGTTATCGTATGGGAACAGTATTTAATCGTAATGTGACCGTAAGCCCACCAAGCGCGCATCAAAACTTTCAGCACCTGGTATTCCCAAGCGGTCACCCATCTAGGTTCTGAACTGGCACAAAGTTGCTTAACTTCGGTTATCGTATGGGAACTAGTATTTAATCATGATGTAGCCGTAAGCCCTTTACGCCAAGCGCACATCAAAACTTACAGCACCTGGTATTCCCAAGCGGTCACCCATCCTAAGTTGTCATCTGGCTCAACGTTGCTTAACTTCGGTATGTTACCGTATTGTATAACCTGTGTTTAAACGTGATATGGCCTTAAGCCCTTTACCATCAAAACATCAAAACTTACAGCACCTGGTATTCCCCAAGCGGTCACCCATCTAAACTGACCAGGCTTAAACGTTGCTTAATTTCGATTATCAACAATTACTGGTCTTTCAACGTGATATGGCTTTTAAAGTAAGAATAATTCGAAAGAAATTTACCATTTGAAAGAATTTCTTTTTTAGTGTTCAAATTAATGAACGATAATTGTAAGATTAGATAGATATATTTGTTTAAACAATCTATTTTTGAAAACAAATATTTCCCACATAGTGACCATTTTTTTTTTAATTTTTACAAAAACAGCTGCGTTTTATATTCGAACACCGGAAGTTTAAAAACTTTTATTGCTAGCAACGATGATATGGCGTGATTTGTCAAATTATTTTTTTTTATTTTTTTGCAATGAATATTATTAATTCAATTAAAATAGAAGACGCCAAAAATTTACATCAGAATTAAATAAAATTTTTTTTTTAAAGGCAAAAAAGGTTTTATACAATTCAAAAAACGTGATCTTTGGTCTTCATTTTTTTGTTATGGATCTCAAACTACATTTATTATGGTTTCATACATGATTGATATATTGTTTGAAAAATGGGACCTCTTATTAAATACAGAAAAAATTGAAAGGCTCGTAATGCGAAAAAAACCTGTGGAAGTTTGAAAAAAAATAATTTCATTGTGCGCGCCTTATTCGTTTTTTCTGTATTAATATAGCATAAATTATCTAACAAAAAAATGCCGTACCTCTTATAGTTGACTTTTTTTCATATGTATTCATATTGACTGAATTTGCGTTTTTCTATAATTTGGACGCTCTTTAAAGATTTTCTCTAAATTAAAGATTAATAAACCAATAATTTAATTGAACACTGTAAAAGAAGAAATGTGCCTGATATAATTTATAAAAAATTGTAACTTAAAACTTGTTTCAACCAAAAGCTATTTTGATTTGTGTTAATTGCGTATAAAAGATTCCATATCTTTTACGTTCCATAATGTTTTTGATAAAAATAAAATTATTGATCATTGCAATTTCGACGTTCAGTATAAAAAAAATAATATAATTTGGCGTTTACCAGAAAAATTAAATGAAAGAAAAATAAAAATGCAATTAAATGGCGGAAAATTCCAAAAATTGAATTTTTTTCAATCAATTTTTAATTCTTTCATTTAAATAGATCAATTTTTTTTCTGTCATTTTCGTAAAAGAGAAACAGATGTAATTTTTATCGTTTGCCAAGAATGAACCTTTGAATTTAGAAATCGATTAAAAAAGAAATTCACAGTTCTGTTTTTAATCAATGACTATACGAAAATAAAAATTTTCCTAAAGGAGGAGATTCAAAAAAAAATTTCACACGGCGATCATGCAAATTATGACTCAAAGCAGAAGGATTGTTTCAAATGGCTAACGTTCTTTAATTTAAAATAAAATTGTCAACTCTGAACCGACTTTTCAAACTTGTTTTCTTTCCTACATTTTATTTTCAACCCGAAAAAATAGGCTACGCCGAAGGGCAGAGTCTCCTTCAATTTGGAGAATATAAAACCGGCCCTGAACCCGTTTATATATATTTTCAAATAATTTATTAAAGTTTTTTAATCAAAAAAAATGCCCACGTTTAAAATATTTGTGTCTTTGACATAAATGGGGGAGGGGGAAATACTTGTTTGATATCGTCAATTATAATTTTCCTGCATGCCATTCCATATTTTATTCTCCTAATCAAACTGGATGACATGATGAAAACATTAAAATAAAGAAAATTTCTACCCCAACGTCAAAATATCTCTATCTCTCTCTCTCTCTCTATATCCTCATTGATATTCTATAAGATCTTTTTTTTTTTTCTCTCTAAAAAAAAATAGAAAAAATAATTTTGAAATCATTATTATTATTATTTAAAATGGTATGTTTCAGCTTTATATCCTGTAGAGCTTTTTAAAAAACTTTGGTCCTTATTTTTTTTAGAAAAGTTTATTTAATTGATAGAACTTTTCTTCTTATATGGAATCTGGGCAAATTTGAAGTTGATGTTAATTTATGATCCTGTTATTAAAATTGTCCATTATTATTATTATTATTTGTGTATGTTATGTTTCCTGTTTTGTATCGTTTAGAAAAATTCTAAACTATGGTCCTTAAAATTCTATAGGAGAATTATCATTTTATTGATAGCAAATTGATTTTCTTAGTAATGGGATGTTCCTAGTAGAACGAAATCTTTGCTTTAACTTTTATCAATAATGTTACCTGGGACACTGTTAGCAAAATTGAAATTCCTTTTCTCACAAATTAGCCCAGAGCTCAAATTCCTAAAAATTTTTTAGTTTTCTTTTCTTCATTCCTCCACTTCCTGTTAATCTCGATCTCCAGGTCCATTGTATTTGGACAATTTCTTTATAATTTTCATTAATGGAGGTGTTTCTAACTCAGATAGTTAGAAAAAATATCAATAAAGGCTAAACACTTCCTGAATTGCTTGTTTTTATGATAAAATCACGTCTGTTGGCTTTTATTTTTTATTCAGTTTGAATTGGCAATCCCAGAGAATAGTTAAATTGTTATTTTGTGTAACTTGTCTGGTTTTTTCAAAATTCATACCATCTTTTTTTTTTCATTTTAAATTTTTTTTTATATCTTCCAGTGCGCATTGTCGCACCCATATTAAATGTATTGGTATATTCATTTTTTGAGTTCCGGATATCCTGAGATAATATGGCCGAGAATTTCATCATATTTTCCGCAGATCCTGCATTTTCATTATAAATTAACTTTTATTATGTGACAGTGATAGGGTTCTAGTTTTTTTTTTAAATTTTTAAAAGCTTTTTTAATTTTTTTGGCTTTCTATCTCAGCAAATCTTCAAAATAATTGCTTCTCAGCCAAATTTATGTTTTTTTCTTTTGGTTTACATCTCTTTTTTTTTCTTCTTTTTAGGTTTTACCATGCAACTTACTGCCCCTTTTTTTTTTTTTTTTTTTTTTTTTTTTTTTTTGTTTTGTTTTTTTTTTTTTGTTTTTTTTGTTTTGTTTTTTTGTAATTTCATTTGTTTTAAAAACTGTTTTTTTATTTTTAATTTCGTTTGGAGTAGATGGATCTTATTATTCGTTTTTTGTTTTTTTTTTTTGTTATTTTTATATTTTAAATTTTTTTTTTGAAGAGTGCAGTTTTTTGTTGATGGAGTAGATTTAATGTTTTTGAAATTATAGGAGAAGGTCATTGGTTTTTGTTTTTCAAAAATCAAATTGTTGTAAATCATAGATAGAATTCAAGTTGGATTAAAGTTCAGCCTTTTAAGAAAAAACAGATACGCATTAGATACCAACATTTTTGCATCATCACTAGCATCCTCATTTTGGGTAAAACAATTCTGATCTTAGCTTCCAATCTTTTAATGTCATTTAACTTCGATTTAATTGAAGCTGTATTTTACTACGGCTATAGCTTATTTGTTGAGAGCCTTCAGTTTATTGGCCTCCATCAAGTTCGTTTTCTAGTATCAAACGCACATTTCCTGTAATATTCTTTTTTGATCTTTTTCTTCCTAAGTGAATGTTGCATTCCATTTCCTTCAATTCTATATATTTGGATGTACCATCTTGGTCTATTTTTTAGTAATCTTTTTGTTGATATTAAGGTTTAAATTTGTAACAAATATAGTTTACAAAAACCTTTGAAGTTGGCTTTATACATTCGATTCCGAACTATATCCTAATGTCTTCGCTGAAGATTTTATACAATGGTGAAAATTTTCCTTTTTGGTTGGCATCCTTGGTTCACGTTTTAAATCATCAATTGAGAATAATTGATTTTTAATTGTTGAAATGTGACTTAAATTCATAGTTAATTAATCTTGTTCAGTAGGCATCTGAGTTTTTCTAATGCAAGGCAGAAAAATTTTGATAATGAATCTCTTTGGAAGATCCCGCATTTGATGTTGATTGGTCACAATGTTAAGGACTTGTTTAGATGGTTTTTCATTTTTCATTTCTTTGTAATTTTCCAGTTTTCATCTCCTCCGTTATTAATTTGACTGTTTTCAAATATTTTATTTTATATTTTAATTCTTCTCTATCTATATCTGTATATATTTATTGTCAAATTATTTTTTATAAATTCCATTCTATCCATAAGTTTCTTTTCCTTGTCTTTTCCTCTTCCAATATTATTATTTTCTCAATTTTTATTATTATTATTATTATTATTTTTTTTTTCTTTGATTTCTGGCGTTTACACATTTCTTTCCGGGTCCCTTGGACCTAAGGTTAGAAATGGCATCATGACACTTTCCACTGAAAAAAAAAAAAAAAAATACATAGATAAAGCCCTTCGTAAAGTGTGGGCTGTACTTGTCAGAACAATTTTTTTATATCTCCTTGAGGCATGGACTTCCAGGAATCCCTTCAATTAGTCTACTGCAATCTTTTCCAACCAGTCCTAGGGCTCCAACTACAACAGGGATTGTTGATGTTCCCATATGCCACATTTTCGAGATTTCTATTTCAAGGTCCTTGTATTTTGACAGCTTTTTGAATATCTTCAAAGATATATTGCAGTCAG